ATATACTTTTTAGCAAGGTTATAAATAATATTATATACACATATGTTTTGTTGCTGTATTTTGGTTTTCTCCATTTTTGCAGGTGTGTCGTCTTGTGTTTTCTTGGTATATATTTCACTTACTGTATTTTCTAATCTCTCTTTCAGTCTTTTCCATTATATTTCTCCTTTTTCTTCTCTTTCGTTTTGTATTTTTTTTTATAAAAAAAGGTCACTGATGATGAAGAAACTAATATTCAGTTCTGTTTTCTACTGAAGTGGCTTAAAAGAGAAAAAGAGAAAAAAAGAGAAAGAAAAGATGAAAACAAAACAAAACAAAAAACAGTTAACAAGCAAACCAAACCTAAATAACTGAACTAAAAAATGTGTCTTTGAGGCAGATGGTTTATCAATTTATGGAGTTAGCACACTGATCAGAAGGAGTAAATTTAGCTGGCTACATTATAATATTTGTACAAATCATTTTATGGGAGAAAGTTGTTGCTATTTTCTCTGTTAAACTAAACCCTTAGTTGGTAGTGGTGGCCTGTGGTTATTTCCATTTTTATCCACAGTCTGGTCATTTGAAAGCCACAGTCTGAACCTAACACACTTTATAGAGAACTCATTACTGTAACCAGTGTATTTACTGTCAAACTCATAATAAAACATTAACATAGTAAGAGATTAACAGAGTCAGCATCACACAGATTGTTTTTGCGTGTGTCGATCTGCAGGTAGAACCTGAAAAACTGGTAAGCTGATCAGAAAATATTTCTGAATGCATGTGTACGGTACAGTTGTACTGATTGGTGTCAGTTTTGGATACCAGAAGCTGCAGGTTTGCTTTAATCACTGAGCTACACGGGTAGCGGCTTAGTCGTCCTCCAACAGGAGGAGTCAGAGGTTTAAATCCTGGCAGTAAACAGTCCAGTGTTGAAGTGTCCCTGGGCAAGGTACTGAACCCCTCATCGTCTCTGACATGTGCCCCATCAGTGTATGAATGCAATCAAAAACACTGATTATACTCAATAGAGTGGTTTATTCAGATCAGCTTTGTGCGTGCTGTATGAATGTGTGGATGGGTAAATGAGGGGCACAGATTGTGTTGTAAAATGTTCCTTCTGTTTAATCGATGATTCCCAGTTCAGCAGACAGCGTGTAGCTAGACTCAGTGTGTCTGAAATAACAAAGAATGTTTTTTGTTGCGCTGAGGGATATAAAAAGCACGGGGCTTCCTTTCACGTGTGACCAAAGGTAATTATCACAAAGCTTCARTGTATCACATGTCCTGTATATACAGATGTGTGAAGTTTCCATTGTGTGAATCATGCTGTGGACTGTGTTTAGCTGGAGGTTGCTGAGCGCATGAATGTTTTAGTTGTTATGGAACTGTGTGTGTCACATTTCAGACAGGTTTCTACATGCCGCATACAGTTATTTAAAAAATTACGTCATCTTTCCTTTTTCTCCCTATTTAAAGTGTGTGTAAGGGCGGGTATTATGTATTTTACAGGCACATAATTCAGTTCTATAAAACAATCAAGTAACTGAGTTACCTTCAGTTGTTATGAGAATTTTGTATATATCAAAAAAAATTAGACTTCGCATCATAAACACTTTAAAATTGGCCTCTGTCTCTTTAAAATCCTCCTACCGTTTCCCACACTTCCACTTCAGCACTCCACAACAATGTTTCAAGGAAGGGGTGATATGTGGGGTAGAAGCTCGGCTGCAGACTGAGCTCCAGGGAGGAGCTTTGTACAAATAGGCGGAGCTYTGTCCCAGCGAGTGTTTTATGCAGCTCCACATGCATGAATGAGCAACACTCTGGGTATGTTTTGGATGAGGGAATGACATTATAACACGATATAAAGCTAAAAAAAATTTAAAAAAAAGCCGATGTTGCATAACACCCCACTTTTAAGCATTTTTTTCCTCTGGCTGGTGCTACTGATAATTAAACTGGCTAATCCAACTTAAGGACAATTTTACTTCAAATGTGTTATCTTTAGATGTACAAGGGTTTAATTTAAACTTTGTTTTTAGTTGTTTTAATATTGAAAAGAAAAGAGAAACTTTAGATTTTTTTAAATTTATTTTAGGTTTCTCTGTCTGAGAATCCGTGCTCAGATTGAAATTGTTTAATTGTTGCTTCTGGTCATCAGACCAAGACTCATCATTTTCTTTTACAAGCTTTTAAAATTTGTGTACTTAGTTTTTCACTCCCAGCTTTTGTAGTTTGTTGTGGTTGTTTCGAACTAATTTTAAGACCTGGTAAAAATCAGTTATTGTTTTATTATCTCTTTATATATAAAACTTGAAAAATGAAAAAGATGGACTGTTTACTATGACTGTAAAATGTGTCAGATGTTTGCTGAGGAAAACATTCAGGGGAGTGACCATGAATCTAAAGGCCCTGTCACTAATGTTTTAGACAACACCTGGGGTAGCAGAAGCACAACAAGACTCAATAGCAACAACAAAMTAAGCTGTTTGGCAGTAAAGATTTGGCAATTTTTTTCATGTGCACAACTCGCATACTCAGCACTACAGCTCATCCCACAAGTGCRTGTTCCTTACAAATGTGGCTCCATTTAAATGGGTGATTAACAGACTTTCCAACGATATAAGATTTACTGCCAAGAAGCATTTTTACAACAAAGAMATAATCTACCAAACACAAATTTCCTTATTTTTTGAGATGTTTAGTTAGWGTTACTGTAGACTAGGGCTGCCACAAACAATTATTTTTATAATCGATTAATYACCGATTATTTTTTCTATTAGTCGACTAATCAGATCATACGTTAATTGAATATAAAACACAGCCTTTCACGTCAGAATGCAGCTGCTATTATATAACCATTGATTTTAACTATATGCTAACTAAAAATAATTGCTGTGGAAGTCAAGTTCTGCCTTGCAGATATTTCATTGTACAGGTTTCTCTTTTATTTTCTTAAAAAGATCCCACAATTTTGAGCTCCGTTGTCAGGTAGCCATGATACCAGAGCCTGTCTGTATAATGTCTTGTGACGTCCACGGCCTACCCCAGTTACCACTACTGTGCATGTGTGTCAAGGACAGAAAGGCAGATGTGGCAGTGGAAGGTGTCAAAGCAGTTTGGAGAGAAAAACAAAGTAAAGAACAAAAAAAAAAGATTAATCGATTATTAAATTAGTCATCGATTATTTTAATAATCGATTAGTTGTCGATTAATCGTGGCAGCCCTACTGTAGACATCTYCAGTGTCAGACAAAATGTTCACAAGTTGACAAAAATTGTCTAAAACATATTAACAGCACTTCCTTTTTTCAAGCCAGCAAAGTCAAACCATCTCATTCTACTCATCCAGTTCAAAATCACCAAACAGTACGCTTGAACAATGACCGGGGCTGTCTAGTTTTATTTATTGGGTGCAAAGTATTTTCACRGGGTTGAAAATTGAAAGTAAGTTCAGCTTCTAATGAGCTAACTCAAAAAGGACTATAGCTGATGTAAGCTGTTACTATTTCAGATCTGGAAACCAGTGCTTGGCCCGGCCGTCATTGTAGAAAAGGGGAACTGAAACACGACAGACTTGACATCATTTTTGGGCATGAAACTTTGTGCACCAGTTTGCAGTAGAAGCAGTTGTGGCTCCAGTGTGTGTGTATGTGTGTGTGTACTTGCTGGAAGAAAATGTACATTTGAGGTTTAGTGAGTCATTTCCAGAGCYGGTTGCCYTTYTGAGACTGCTGAGTTCTTTGGAGTGTTTTTTTTTTCCCCACTCACCATTTTCTTTTGAAATGAGCTGTCAAAGAGGATGTACAGTATTCTTAAAACACRTTCTGTGTAAAAGGTCTCGTTAATGATTTTCATCCTTTTATGTCTTCATCGCTGTAAAACACGTTCGGTTACTTGCAATATAATTTAACAGATTAAAATATTTCCTGGCTGGCCTCCAGCTTCGACTAAACAGAGCAGACTGAGTCGGACAAAAGCTAGATTAAAGCATTTCAAAATAAAAGGAGGTCCTGCAACAATAAAGGGTGAGAAAAATAATCTGTAGATTTTTGTGTGTATGTTACATTACAAATATTTCAGAAAACAGTGTGTAGTTTGGGGTGTGTAACTCTACATGTATTTATACCAAACCGTCAGGGTCCAGTTACAGTCAGACAAAGAATACATTAGTCTCAGGCGATCGCCGCTCTCATCTGGAAAAAGTGCGCACATGTTTTTTAAATTGCTTTTTGCTAACTGCCGCAACAGAAAAGCAGAGGATGAAGATAGCATCTAGCRCTCTCTGCACCAGCAATAATGACTAATTCAAATGAAACATGGAAGCCTGGCGATCTGCTTATTTTGTTTCACATCAGTAACAAAGAAAAGCTTCAGGTTCACTGTGGAAATATGGAAAGCCATAAAGGGCCATAATTTGTGCACTTTGAAACTCCCTCTTGTGTCTAATAAACACCATGAAATATGTTAAAGGGTTTAATAAGTGCCATTTGTGTGGAACAGCACACTGAGAAACATTTCCAGTAGTACTATTTATTTTATTTTGTATTTTTACAAATTTAAAAACAATACATGGAAATAAAAAGACTTGTGGGAAATTTTTTTAATTTAAGAGACACATGTACAAGAAAAAAGAAAAAAACTATTTTTAAAAACAGTAAAATTTAAACTATGTGCTAAGAATATAGTTTGTTATAACTAAGTTGGAAAAATATACATGATGGTTGATTAAATTATAAAATATGAGGGAAAGTTTTTTATTTAATTGGTGCATTTTAAGTGTGTTTATTTATTTATTGGGGCATATATTTATTTCTGCTTTAATTTTTTAATTATGTCAGTTTCGGTCCTCCATACATCTGAGCCCAGCTACTAGCAAGTGTGGTTTGTTTTCTGCCTGCCTTTGGGTGAAGTTGCTTTATGATTAAACTATGTGGGAAAAATGAAAATGCTTGTACCAAAACAAAGTACATTTCAAACCATAATTTATGATATTATCTTTGTTATTCAAGCGAGGTTTGAGTTATTATCATCTAAACTACAAACTCATTTATTTAGAGTTCCTGCAATGACAGATTGTTCAAATCCTGTTTATTTAGCTCACATTCTTGTGAGAATGTTGGAAACCTGAAGATCAGCTGAGTAGAACTGTATGATGTCAAAAAACAAACAAACAAACAAACAAAAAGAAAAACTATATAAAGAAACCAAAAATGAAATTTATGTTTTAGGTTTGAAATGTTAATTAAAAATATTCCAATGTTTTAACTGTGGTTACTCCAAGTTCCACACAGAAGACCTGATAATAAAACCTCTGGGGTGCAACAAGGCCTTTGGTTTTAAAACCTGAATACTTCTGGCACTGTGACATTTCAAGTTATTCTAAGCGACTGGGTTGTTGTCCTGCTAGAGCTTGTTCAGGTCAGGAAGTGTTTTTTTTATTTTTTGGAACATGAGGTCAGGTTTATCCCTCTAACAGGAATCTCCTTTTTTTTCAAATTCCTGGAAAAGAGAATAACATTTGGAGTTTTTTGTGTTTTCACCTTTTGATCTTCCTTTATGGAGGTTTCCTCTTCTTGCTGATAAGAAAGCCACTTTTTAAAAACAAGTACTGAATTGGGAGCATGAGTTTGCTTGGAAAAGGGATTACACTTTTTATGGTTTTGATAGTGTTATCTAAAAGGGCTAACCTAGTTTCTCCTCTCGCTGCTCACACAGTTTGTCTGTTTGTGTAAACTTTGTCAGGTGGTTTTGTTGAGCGGTCATTTGGACAGCTGGGATGTGGGCCAGGGTGCCATGGATGATGGAGGCGGAGCCATGATTTCCTGGGAGGCCCTGTCACTCATCAAGGACCTGGGTAACACAAAGATAGACATATTGTTTACGCTGCACAGTAAATTAAAGAAAAACTTCCACATGTGCAAACTATAGGAGCATGTGTTTTACAAACTTTTTTCATCTCTAGTTTCAACTTCTTCGACACAGTTTTCGTGTTTCCTGTGTTTAATCGGTCACTCTTAGTTTCTTGCTTATGTAATAAAATGACCCAGTTTTACATTTGAAAAAAAAAAACAACTAAAATTTACGGTTGATGCAAAGTATTTGATAAGAAGTACTAAATACTTACAAATGTCATTATAAAAGCCTAGCTGTAAAATTGGTGTCAACRTGATGTTTGTCTTTACTAAAGTATCAAAGTGAATAAGAATAAATATACAATAACAAAAACAGCACATATAAGTTTTGGTGATCCAAGAAAGTCCAGCAACCTGCGACTGAATGTCATGATCATATAAATTTTCTAACTTAATATTAAAATCATTAATTACTTCTTTGTCAGACTGAATAAGCTCAGAACTGCGAGGCTATTTGATGGATAAGCTGTAGATCTTATCAGATATCTGCATCTTTCCACAGGTTTGCGCCCAAGAAGGACTTTGCGGACGGTGCTGTGGACAGCTGAGGAGCAGGGTGGAGTCGGAGCACAGCAGTACTTTAATCTACACAAGGTTCTGTTACTTCACAAAAAAAAAAAAAACACACTGTACGAGCTGTGAAAGGCAATATTTTCCCTCCACGTAAGAAGCAGGAAGGGTCAGAGCGTTGTGAAAGCACACTGTAGGAATGTGCTCTCAGCAAAGTGGAAAAGCCCTGGCTCGCTCCCAAATTTACTCCGTGTCAAGGATGTATGCAACAATCTAACGTTTCCTTTTCTTCCAGCTTTCTCAGACCCGTAATACGCTACGTTCTTATAACTAGAAATGTACATTTAGTGCATTTTTCAGGAGGGAATCACATTTGTCACCACTTTTTGTAACTAATAGGCTGATTAGATCTTTCTTTTTTTAAAACAAAAGTAGAAATTTATTTGAAGTAGCTTCTTTAGCGACTCGTAGTGGCTGGTTTAAATGTGCAAACATTCTGAAAACGTGGGGTTAAAAGGTGAACTTTAATAAATACAACTGTGTGTGGATTATAATCATTCCAACACATTTTTGTCACTTTTCTGGGTGTCTCACCTGTTTTTTTTTCTTTCCTCACACAGGTGAACGTGTCCAACTTTGACCTTGTTATGGAGTCTGACATGGGGACATTCACCCCGGTTGGTCTACAGTTCACTGGCAGTGTTGCAGCACAAAAGGTGAGATAAACACTGTTGATCTTTACACAAGGATACAATAACTAACTCTACAAGCTGATTAGAATTAGCATTTGTTATGATTCTAACATTTGGCTTAAATGTTTAAAGAGTTGCTTTTGGGATAAAGAAATGTTAATGAAATGTTTRGTCCTAACCTGACTCCTAAACATGTGGACTGCAGGGTAAACAGAGAAAAATCAGTACTCAGCTATTAAAACTCTGGTTATTTTTGGCTCATGAAACTTGTACGTGTTTTAAAAGCGTTTTATGTTATGGAGCAAGTCGTCCACCTGTCTGTCTGCCTGTGAGCAGCTTTCTTGTCAGCTCAASTCCTCTTACATCTTTTAATAGAACGTGCTGAAACTTGGTGGGGGGTATCGTGATGACTATCATCGTTTTGTACCTCATCAGTTATGATCCTTTGCTGTATTTTATAAATAGAATCCTTGACAGCTCACTTTAAATAGCAGGGGTCTCCTCAGAAGTCACTATCCTGCATGTTTTACAGGTTTCTCTGCTCCAGCACAGCCTGAATCACACAGACTGAATCAGGTGTGTTGGAGCAGAGAAACAAGTAAAACATGCAGGATAGTGACTGGTGGTGTAAGAAAATATTGATACACTGAAATATCGCGATATTTCATTTCCCAATACTGTATCGATATTCTAAAGCCCTGTATCGATTTTTAATTAAGGTTTCAAATGTCAACTTTCTTGCCAACCGTTAATTTTTATGTTGTAGTTCAGCCTCTGACCACTAATTGGCAGCAG